TTGTCCTTTGCTAAATTTTGGAATTTCCTTTCTTTATGGTTACTTAATGAGCTTAGACAGGCTTGTCGGGCATCTGTCCATCAATATATCCCAAGTCAATATATACTACTTCATTAGTAGCACAAATTAAACATGCTCATGTCATGCCTATCCATAGTCTGTTTCACCTGTCATCTCAGTTTTTCAAGAAATCTGCCAGACCATTAAACATGTTAAATGGATTTATTTGATTTGTATAAATCTAGAACTGAAAGATTTTAGTTTCAAACATCCTGAATTCTCTGTTCGATCCAGCCAAACTACTTGATGGATCCATTTGAAATTTTCAGGTGTGCTTTTGATGTGAAGATAAAGAATTAACTTGATTCTGGGTATGTCAGCGACTTTGGATTTTATGTCCTTAAATCTAGGCGTTTCCAGAAGTTTAATAACTTTATTTTTAACTTTTAGGTATGTTCTGTGGTATGAAATCTAACAGCTGATTATTATTACATTTTGGGAAAGCTTGGTAGATTTTAAGATGCTGTCTTTAAAATCTTGTTTCTCCAAAACCGCTACAGATATCACCTTCAAATCTTCAGGGATAACTTATGAGTGTATAGATGTGGATCAACTTTTTTTTAGTTCGATAACTTCTTCCTGTCGGCCATTTTGAAGTCAAATGCTAAAATCCTTGTCTGCAAACTTTAAGAAAAATGGCTTCAAGTTTGCTTTTAAAACTTTAAAATCTTGTTCAGCTCACTTCATTCTACATCTGATTAGGTTTTGGACCTGTTAGCTCAGTCATGGCAGCCATTTTGAATGTCTTAAGGAAAGTAAGCGCGTGATGTTACTTTGTTTCATATTGAATGGTGTTTTTGAGTTTTCATAATTTAACTATTTAGTAGCTTTATAAATAATTTCAGGTGTACTTTGTTGTAAAACCCTATGTTATTGTTAACTTACAGTAGTTATATGTGATAATTTTGTAAAAAGAAATCAGCAAAAACTAATAATCACTTTTTTTATTGTCAGCCATTTTGGATTTTTTCATCCTAAGATCTTGTCTGTAAAGTCTTGTCTACGCATTTTCAGGTGAACCGTGTGGTAGATCAATTTCAAATTTTCAGGGTTGACTCTTAGTATAAAAATCTAGTTCTGATTAGTTTTTTGGCATTCTGGATAAATCTTAAGGCAGCCATTCTGGATTTTCCGTCCTGAAATCTAGTCTGTAAAGTCTTGTCTACGCGTTTTCAGGTGAACCATTTGGTAGATCAATTTCAAATTTTCAGGGATGATTCTTAGCATGAAAATCTAGAACTGATTAGTTTTTTTTGCATTCTGGGCAAATGTCAAGGCAGCCATTTTGGATTTTTCCTTCCTAAAATCTTGTCTGTAGAGTCTTGTTTACGCGTTTTCTGGTTTACTGTTGCCTGATCAATTTCAAATTTTCAGGGTTGGTTTTTAGTATGAAAATCTAGAGCTGACTTATTTTTTGGCATTCTGGGTAAATTTAAAGGTGGCCATTTTGCATTTTCCGTCCCAAAATTATAACGGTAAAGTCTTGTCTACTCATTTTCAGGATATCCATTTGACGGGATCACCCATTGGTGGGGCCATATTGTACACATTTGTGTTCTTGTATTATATTGTTGAATGCATAATTAGAATTTGCTTTGAGACATGTTCTATTTCCTAAGAGGAACATGGGGAACATTTATCTTAAAGCGATTAAGTTTTTCTTTCGAGAAATATTTGATACACTAAAATAAAGAATAGTAATGCATTAGACAATGTAAAAAATGATTGCATTTTCAGTGAAAATGAGGTTAACATCTTTGAAAAGTGTGTTGATGGGTTGATTTCTAATTAAATATCTCCGAATTTGTTTGACTTTATTATTACTGTATATAATTTTCTTTGAGATAATGAATGGATCTAAAAGATAAACCTGTCTTCATTATCATAAAATTGTCACAAACCAAGATATAGCCGTCTGAAATTGTTTGCGATAACCTACGTGCTCCTTTATTAAATATTTTAAAAATCACCAGACAAATAAATCATGAATTAAAATGGAACTGGCTGGGCTCCTCGATGAGATATTGCATGATTTCGTCAGGATTTCGTCTAAAATTAAAAAAAACGGCTCCAAGAAAAATGGCGATATTCGAAAACTGGACGAAACGTCGTTATTGTCTGACATTAGTAACTGGCTGTAAATTCTATGTTAGCGATCCAGAAGATGTGAACTAATACATTGATCACTTCATGTGTGTTTTGGAATTTTTGGTGTGGTAATAAGACCAAAACTCGCAATTCAAATTGTGATATGGAAAAATGGCGAACATTTGATTTCAAATTTTATGATTACGACATGACCCGTATACAGCAGTAAAAACATGCAGGGATTATCTTTGGACGAAGGCCATGATAAAGTGGCCTTAGAAGAGGGTAAGATTAAGCAATCCAATATTATGCAATAAGCACAAAACATAGAGAAGATTCTTGTTTTCGACTGTTACTACCTCATGATACGGAAAATACCATAGAGTCACCAATAGACATTCATATTTTGTGAATCATACATCATTTTGTTGGAAATAGAATGATCTTTCCAATGATATATATAATTTATAGATATTTCGACCATATCAGCAAAATATTACAAAAATAAAAATGTGGACGTTTTTAGGCCCAACCTGTATATTATAGATTTTTTTATAAATTATATTGGAGCTATATATCAACTTCAATTTCTCTTTAAATGATATTCATATTATATTATATCTGATCTGCAGCTGCCATATCGTGATTGTGATAGCCTTACTGCTCACCGCGGCCATGGAAACACGTGGATTTGATCACAGCAATAAAAAAATTAAAAAAGAACAGGTACATACATGCACGTTTTGCTAATGTTGTTGGGAAAATGAACGATTGTGTAACAGTACGCATAAAAAAGGAACCGCTCAAACATGTACGAATTCTTTTGGACATGATGTGTAATTTTCAAACTTTCGGACGTTCAGTGACAGACTTTTAAGGATTTAGATATATGGTCAGGGAAAACAGACTTTATAGGTGTCAAGGGTTTAGAATCATGGTTAGAATAGATAATGCAATTCTCTAAAGTTATTGTTAAGAATGTACAGATTTTAATGCACTGTTTAGACAAATACATGAATATCTGCCCGATGGTATTGAAAACATTGGTTTTTAATATAAATTAATTTTTGATGGTCGCCATGTGTACTATTAAATCAACATAAACTTAAATAATACGTAATTATATACTGGAAATTGTAGAAGGACATGCGTTCTACCGAACTTTTCTCAGCTCGTGATTTCAAAAGCCAACCACACGCGAAATAAATGACAACACTTATTGTTCATTTTCTATTGTTGAGTTTTATTTTAAAAGTGTAAAGGGAAACCTTGCTGTCAACTGGAGGAGGGTGATTTGTGTAGTGTAAATAATGGTGACACAATTCGTGATTATGGCTGTTGCAAAGACGAAGGAATCGAGTGTGCATTCCACAAACAAGATGGGAATATTATTTATAATCGCTGTCTTGCAGTGGGCGAAGTATTTGATCTGAACTAATATGTTCGAAAAGTTTATAAATAAAGTAGCATACTGATTTTTATGGTGGTGTTTAATTCGTTATTTTTAGTATTTAAAAGTCTGTAGCCTTAGTATGAAATATTTGAGTGGACAATTTACAAGTAAGCCAATCGGCTACAAAAATATGTCAATCGTATCTTTTTTTGGTATTCTCAACACAACAAATTGATACAAAATCAAAATTTATTTCTGAATATTCCTCGCACAGAACTTTCTTTATCCTAATGCAAAACAGGTTAAATGCTAGCTGTCATGATAGGTTTCTGTCGAAAATATTCAATTAATCTGCTACAGCAGACATTCTGTTGATGGAGCACAAACTGCAAGCTCTTAAAGGTGGTATTTTCCCTCGGGCCATTATATGAACACACATACATGTTATTAATCAATAAAACATGCCCGTTGTTTTCATTTAGAATAATGACAAATAAAAAGCAGTTGACAATGTACCATATAAAATAATATATTACATACAATATAAAATGATATTACAAATATACAATGGTCACTCGTCGCTGAAGTTTTATACACATGTTTTTAAATTGTAATTATATTTTGTTCTTATTAATGATATCATATACAGTGTTGACCAGTTGACGGTGACATTCTTTGATGACACATTTATTAAATTATTCACTGTCTATTTTTGAAAGGTATTGTAGCGTATGACAACGAGTCTAGTTCCAAAAAGCACCATACGCAATTTACGCATATATATGTACTCATGACTCAATGAGTGATATTACCCCCATGCTTGAATTGTACGGACCATTTGAGACCCAACTTATGTCAAACGATTAACCAATCTATTTACAGATTTACAGAAAGCTAGGTCATATCGCATTACGCAATAGTTTTATCAAAACGTCAATCAATTTAAATGGATATATTTTAACCAGCGGCGTAAAGGCGTCTCATTGTACGTGTTTGCCGCATAATTTCACGCATAATTATTTGCAATGTTTGCGCGCACATTGTAACTCATATGCATACATAGGACCAAAAATGTGTGTGTATCCTCTTTTATAATACTGTCCTTTCTCACTTAGACTACACTATTTACAAATATAAGAGCAATTTATCAATACCCTAATATCACTTAACAGATACTTCTACCACGGCAGGTTTTCAGTGTCTTAAAGCATCAGCTCAGATTTCTATGTTATTTACATCTTTACATCCGTAGTGTTTCATTTTATGCTGTTTAGCCCCTTGACTACCAGAGAATTGTGAATAACGTCATAAAAATCAGAATCAGATCTATAGGCAGTGACAAAATTGCAACAACACGCACAGTTGACTTACAAATATATGCCTTACATAACCATAAAATAATAAATACATTATTGTAAAAATCGTTAGTTTTCTTCAAATCCAGTATTCACAATTTTTGGAAATGACAAGGAATGATATGAGCTCAAACTATTCTTTGTTGAGACAATATTTGTCAGGAGTACTCGATCTTGGTATTCAATAGGTTAAACTCAGTAAAGGCAACACTGAACATTTTCACGTTTCAAAACTGTCCACTTATAAAGTGAAATATGTTCCATTCTCTTTGACAAACTGCATATTTGTCCAACTTTAGCCTTTTAACGTCTTCGTAACAGTATATTCTATACAATGCTATGATAACTATCTACAGTCACGCCATCTATTTACAGATATATTTACAAGAGTCAAGATTGCCAGGTTTGCATTTTTTACTTCAATATGCCCTATGTCATCCGTATTTGTCGGAATAATGAATATGCTACATTGAATAATGTCAGAATAATTAATATTGAGCTATAAGAATGATTGTTTAGTGTGGTCACACTACTTGTTGGTTTCTTAATTGCGCTAATACTACTTTTTGGAGGTTTGTAGATCGGATTTCGCTGGTGACCTTTATCAACTTTGGAATGATTGTCCGGGGGTGCTCGTTGAATACCGCTACCACATCCATTCTCATCGCCTTCAATAAAAATAGTCAAACATATTTATTCATTCTTTTTTACTTGATCTACTTTACATACAAGCCATTGTGAGTCCACAAACAACACACCTCCCCACAATGTGATGTCTTGGTACATATTATCAACTTCGTACCAAAACCACCTTTCACTGCGTTTTAATTTCAGAAGAGTTAATATTTGGACACAAACAAATGAAATATGACAAAGAAAGTAAACAGGATCCAAGTAAAAATCAGTCAACAATACGAGTCATCATAGAAAATACTTACCACTATTCCGTACATCAAGAATAAGTGAGGATAAATCCTCTGTATTAACTAATGCCTTTCTAGTAAGACTTAGTTCCTTTAGTCTCGTGCAAGGTAGTTTGTGAATACTTCTTAATTCCTTGTTTTCACCACCATCACCAAGTAATATCTGTATGATAAAAATGAATTACTTGAATAAATTGCAATGTTAATCCTTTCAAGCTACTAAGATATTTTCCACTTTAAAAATCTATATTGTTTGAAAACAATTTATCGAAATGTATCTATCCTAAAAGGAATCTAATAAGCAACTGATATATAAATATATACAATTGCATAATTGATAATACCCCCAAGGCGCGGTATTCAAACTACGTGCACGCAGTTTGAAACACTGACAAACTGCACGCATATTTAAAAATGACAGGCGGGGATGACACGACTGTCAAAAGGATGAAAAGTACTGGAAATGCAGGATTAGTTTATCAGACAGTACCATTATGTGGAGACTCACTTACTTTACAAGAAGCACTCAATTTTCCCCCCGATGTAAACCAAGTTATCGCAATATAAGGTTCATAAGGAGCTTTCTTGTTAAAAATATACAATGTTGCGTCAAATAATGTCTGTTTGTTTCATGATCATCTGATTTAGAAATATTTTGTAGTGTACGTGAGAACTGGGTTCAGGTTTACCTATGCAACAAAACCCAAGTATTTTCTACTTCTGTGAAAAGTGCAACATCAACTTATGTGTCGGTAATCGAAAAACAAATGGATTTTTCATTGATCTGCTTATATTTTAAAATCTGGATCTATGTTCATCTGGACATAGTTTTCGCTATCACATGGTAGAATCATTTAATCACCACCGAATGGACGTATGAAACTATAAATCAATGCAGAATAAATGTCTTGAAATGATGTTTGAAAACACAGACTCCAACCTGTACGATGCAATGTTGATATGCGCGCAGTTTGTCAGTGTATCAAACTGCGTGCATATTATGCGCGGAGTTTGGATACCACACCGTGACTCCAGTGAGTCAATTTCAAGTTATGAAAATCTATGTTACTTGAAAAAGATTTATCAAAACTTATTAAAATTTTTTTTAGCAGCAATTTGTTACATATATTAACATATTTGTGATGAATACGCTGGACATTCTTCTGGACGCATATAGCGTTTTCTTACAATCATATATTAGGAAAAAAAACCAATTAAGACCTCCATAAACAATTGAAATAATATACGTTACCCAGCATGTAAGAGACGATGATCTATAATCCTTCTGTGTAATAATTACTTTGACTCCATGTTTGTACTTTAATTCCAACCGACAGGTAAACGCTTAAAACAAAACAAAAAACATGAATAAATGCTCGGAGTATACGTGTGCATAGTGCATTCAGACATAGACAAATATAGGGTGAAATACATATCATATTCTCTTAAAGATAACATAATAAAGTTATCTGATCTTTATTAAGTTGTTTTTGAAGTTTTACATATTTAAGTACTCTACTGTTATTGTTTTAAACGTTAAATAAATGTTAGGCTTCATATTTCTAAAGTTGACTAGATGCAAAAACATACATTGTAAAGCTATCATTCTGGGGCATTTTTCAAGATCAAGGTAAAGATCTAACTTTGTTTTGCTAGAACAATTTGCCGAATCCCAGTCCGAGATGATTCCTGAAATGTATTTAAACATGTATTTAAGAATTAATAAATTGAAAAACTGAAAAAGCGCCAGGTAATTTTCTACTTTGTAATAGATATCCACCGAAAACAGAATGAAATATATGTTTTATTTTTTCACAATTATAGTACACACATCTTTGTGAATATGCATTTTTACCGACGTCACGGGAGTTCAATTTTTATTAAATCAAAGCCAGAACAAACAATAAGTTATCATTATATACCTGAACAAGTTGGTTCTGGTACAGCAACGCCATCTTTACTTGCTACATTGAATGAATATTGGCCATCCAATCCACACTTGTTTGCATCAGACGTCTTAGCTAAAACATGTGATAAATAATTATGTACAATTAACAGATATTTGTTAATGATGGATATATTCGATTTGCAAGACAATGAGATTTGAAACACAGACTCTTCACAATTGGGCAGTGTCATGCTTATGCTTGAATTTAATTTTTGTTTATTACAATCGATCGAAATGTATAACTTTAAAGAACTTCTGAAAGTCGACAAAAAAATTGACAGGCCATGTGGACATACGGTAGACAAAAACGTGTACGAGAAACTTTATATTGACAAAGTATGCCGTATACATTCAATACGTGGCAGTCGCTCAGATAGAGAACAAAAATGGCATAACAATATTATTGTAAGTGCTCTTCTGTACAATTTCTTTCAAATTGATCGCCTGTCATATCCTATAGTAAGCCTAATTTAACCCACAAAGGCACTAATGGGGTCTTTTTGACCCCATGGTCAACGTTCTCTGATACATCTAATCCTTGTTATTTAGAAAATCAGTTTTTATGATCAATTTTCGGTACAAATGAGGGATTCACTCTTTTTTGGTCAATTTTGACTTAATGAGTTACGATAAAATGTTTTAGTTGAACATGCTTTCTGAACTTACCTATCAATATATTCCCGACACCGGCATCGTCAGATCTGCTAGAATGCGCATCAAAAGCACAGAGGTTGTGTATAGACTGGTCGTAAGACACGCTTCTTGCTAAAAGAATAATAGGAACATTATATGATTGTACTGTAAACGCCCAAATTTTCGCTGACAAAATCTCACAATTTGTCAATCTGAAATGCTTCATATGTATTAAATTCCATTGTTTGAAGATGTATTCAGTTGAATTCAATGTTAAATCAAATTTTCACTGTGCCTTTAATTTCACTGTCTAGCCTCTTCAGCGAAATTAATGAAAGTAGGGCCCCTTGAAATGTTGGGCTTTTACAGTATTACATTACTGTATTGTATTATTTTGTATATATAGTTATGATAAATCATGTACGTATTTGAATGATTATCATGAACAATTTACATCGTATCCAATAAAACCGTTTGTATGCTTTGCATCAATACCAAGTCATGACTGTGTTCTAATGATGTCTTTACGGCCATACCAGGACATTTCTTGTCTTGTCAAACATTTTTTTACCCGCCATTAGGATTTCTAATCATTCTAACCGTTATTTTGGCAATTATCGTCAATGTCAAATCGATTCTTACATGTGTGTCATACCAATGAGGTCCTTAATCCTTATATGAAGAATTTAAATGGAACTTGAGTGATCCTAGAACATGAGTGATCCTGGAACTTGAGTGATCTGGGACATGAGTGATCCTAATTATTTACGTACCCATTCTGTACTGAAGCAGTTGCTCGTGTGGCTTCGTGAACAAGACACAGGTGTACCGTGGCCGACTAAAATGCACCAAAAATAGCACCATTAAAACGATGCTTACAGAAACAGGACATGGTTTGTAAAAATAAAGTATTATGTTTTTTTTAAAAAATTTTCATCGTCCGGCATCAATCTTGCATCAATCCTACATGGTCACCTAGACTTAAAGGCTTCACAGAGCAGGGACATGACATTTGGCAAGGTTGGCGATGTATAAGCGAGCGAAGGACAGCGGAACAGAGACTTTCTGCAACAGTAATTCTCTCATTTTATTATGTAAACTCTTACACTTACCTAATATGCTACTAATTGCCTTAATCCTACCATATAGCCTTTCTATGGTGAAACTTATACATGTATGTATTTCGTGACAACCCTGTCTCCGTCACGAGTCTATGACCTCAATTTTATCCACCATTTTCTTTCGTAAACAGGAAAATTTTTCTATGTGAAAACAAATAGTTTAATTTAGCTTTAGTATAGTGAATTGAGTAACTTTGATAGTGCGTCATTGTTCAAAAATGTCGGATAGTTCTAAAAAAGAACGTAAATCTGATAGAGAAGACACAGATAAAGAACATTTGAGCAGTGAAAATCGGAACGTCGATAAAAATGTTCACAGTCAAGATACGGCGAAAAAATACAGAACTGTATCCTTTGACAAGAAAAGAAGTAATACTAGCTCAGGTAGTAGTGCTTCTAGTTCACCCATTCAGAAATCTAAGAGATCCCGTCGGGACTCTAGTTCTGAACATAGCAGAGATCGACGGCGTCGATCTTATACACCTGATTTGAACAAGAATAGACCACGTCGTGCTGGTCATTCTTCTTGTGAGAAATCCCGTCGGGATTCAAGTCAGGACGGTAGACGTGAACAACGCCATCGTTCACGTGTATCAAAGAAGAGTAAGAAGAGATCACGCCGTGCTGATACTTCTTCAGATAGCTCAGTGTACAGCCAGTACAGTGAGTCTAGTCCTAACTACAGGAGACATGGCCGGCATCGTCGGTCATATTCACCTCATAAGGGTTATAAGAAGTCACATCGTGCTGACAGATATCACAGGGAACATAAAAGGCGTTTCCGATCACCTTCATCTTCCCCTGAAAATAGATCTAGATATGATAAATTCAAATCTCGAAGAATAGATAATCATAGTTCTAATGATACGTCAACTCATATGCCCCAGGTTCAAAAAAGGGAATACTTTGATTATCAACAGCGTGAGGATTTCACACGTTCAGTCCCATCGTGCGGACATCCTTATCAAAAGTTTGACAATGCTGGTGAATCAGCTTTTTCAGTCGGAAATAACACTTTTTCGCAAGAATCGCGTAAATTTCCTATGCGTTTTCTACAATCTCTTCCTACTATGAGGCAATCGGACATTCCTCATGGAGGCCATTCTTTTGAAGAACGTGGTACTGATTTTATTCCTGGTATGTCTAGACAGGAGAGACAACTGAACAGGGATCACATGTATTCATCTCCTCCTGTTGTACCACGTACTACTTCACTAAAAGAAACTTTTTCTTTAAATGAAGACATTGAAGAAGAACAGCCAGCAGTGGAAGTGTCCATTTCAGATGAAATGACACAAGCGGTAAGTATGGTAAGAGACTGCTTCCCAGGTCTTATAGGTGAGTTGTCTACACGAAAATCGGCATATAAATCCAAATCTTTAGTCAGGGATAAAACACCCATTGTGCCAAAATCACTTGAATTGCCACTTTGTCCGGGTGTTAAACACAATCTGGCTGAAGGTGTTCATCTTTTCAAGGATTATCCTCCAAATGCGTTCTTGAAGGATTTTCCTAGCTTCGACAGCAAACGGTTTAAACTTAATAAGAAATTATATCAAGTTGTACCTTCAGAAGCTGGAGTTAAACCCTGTGAATTAGATGTTGACTTTCCTACGATAGTCTCATCTAAATTCAAGAATCAAAAACAGGGTAACACAGGTCAAACAACCAAGTCCGAGTTAAATCCTCGACCTTTTCTGGCCACCAAGACAATGGCAGATTGGGAGGGGGTTGTAAGAGAGCAATTGCTAACAACATCCCATACAGAGTGGTTCATAGGAACAGTGAAACCTCTTTTTGAAGAGTTACTTGAGCAAGGTAACACTTCAGAGGAAGATGTCTGGAAAGAGAAGCTTGAAAAAGCGCTCACACTTGTTAAAGTAGCAGGCAGGTGTATTGAAGATAATTATCGCCTGACTACATACCTCCTGAATCAAATAGTAGCTTGTAGGAGGCACTCATACATTGGGATGAGAGCAGACAGGGACATCCCCTTCAGTATTACTAAGGAATTGATGTCTTTAGATAGTAGTTCTGGAAAATTATTCCAGAACAAATTGCCAGATGTCAAAGATAGCCTCAAAACTGCTAAAGCTGATTTAGCTCAGACTCGCATTTCAGCTCCAAAGAAGAGTCAATCTGACAAACCTGTTTTTTCAGATAATAAAGACTCAGGTCAATCTTCCTTTCGAGGTAGGGGAAGAGGAAGTAACAGAGGCTATAACAAGGGAAATAGAGGCCGAGGTAGTTCAAGAGGAGTTGCCAAGTCCTCTAAAGGCCGGGGTCGTGGTACCCCTAAGTGACTCTCCCCACGTCGAAAAATTGCCACAGTTCCCAATAAGATGTTCAGGGGAACCAGTAGGAGCAAGGTTGCAGAAATATTGGCAAAATTGGGAATTAATAGGAGCTCACAGAATGATTTGCAACATTCTGAAGGAAGGTTATTTTCTTCCTTTTCGGGAGTTCCCAGTTCTAACACAAATTCCAATTTGGTCAACATTTCCAAACCCTGTAAAGAAAGAAGCAATTTCCGACATAATAAATTTGCTCCTGCAAAAACAAGCAATAGAGAGAGAGAGTTTGGAACATAAACTCTGTAGGCTTTTACAGTCGAGTATTCTTAGTGCCCAAGAAAAATGCAAATTGGAGGCCAATAACCGATTTGTCAATATTGAACACATTTCTGGAGGTGCCACATTTCAAAATGGACACACCAGAGATAGTGAAAAAGCATCTAAGAAAAGGAATGTGGTTTGCATCCCTGGATTTAGGGGATGCGTACTTGCACCTACCAATTGCAGCCCCTCATCGAAAGTATCTGAGGTTTGCAATTCAAGATCTAGGAGTTTTCCAATGGAAGACTCTACCATTTGGGGTGGCAATCGCACCTCTATTATTCACACAAGTGATGGCTCAGATAAAACAATATCTTCACACGAAGCACGATGTGAAGATTTTTCAGTACATCGACGATTGGCTCGTAGTAGCAGACACAAAAGAATTGTGTCAAAGCCATATTCAACTGGTGATATATCTAATAAGAAAGTTAGGTCTATTGATCAACGTAGAAAAGTCAGAGTTAGAACCAACTCAGATTTTAGTGTTTTTGGGGTCAAAGTTCGACCTAACAAAAGGTGTGATCAAACCTACAAGAGAGCGAATAAGCTTGTTGATAAGAGAAATTCAATTATTCCTCTCAAAACCAGCACAAACTGCTCGTTTGTGGCAAAGAGTGCTAGGACTCTTGGCCGCAGCAGAGAAATGTGTTCCCTTGGGCCGTTTGAACATGAGAGAAACTCAGTTCGATTTGCAGACAAAATGGTCTCAAAAGACAGGAAATCAAGAGGACCAAGTAAAATGGTCTCACAAAACTCAGACAGACCTGGAATTTTAAAAAGAAGGTGTTGATATAAGGAAGTTCTTTGTGTAAGTGAAGGTAAGTAAAATTGGCGGGTAATAATTATAATATTGGGTCATGTGACAACAGGTAAGGTTTCTATTGGTTGAAGTTAATTATGTTGACCAATTAAATTACAGCATTTTAGGTACCAACAATTGGTCTCAAAAATACGACAAATTAAATTGATACAAGTAACTGAAAATTGGTTAAAATAATAATTTATAGTTTATTGATGATTCATTCAAATAAGATTTGTGTTTCTTTGTATGGAAACTGTTACAACACAAGAATACAATACATTACAAACACTTAGTTTGTTAGTTAAATACAAACAATAAAGTGACATATTATGACACTTAAAATATTACAGTTTATTGACAAAACATACATAAATTAAATAAGACTCAAAACAAGACAACGTAAAATAAAACAAAACATAAAAACATAAAGTAAAATGAAACTTATAACACATTTATTTGGCGCAAGGGCGACTAGTTTGCAAGAAAACATATTTATTATGTTTTCATGATAATTTAAAGTAATCAAACTGGTCGCGCCCACCAAGCCGAGGCGCCAAGAATAAACTTATGAACATTTACCATGCGTAAAGTAGTGAATTTGATTAAATTTGTGCTAACATTCTCTGACTGACTGCTAGTTTGGAAGCGATATTCAATTCTATGTATCTAAGATAACACTGCGAAGCCCAATCTCCATGTGCCTTAATGGCTTCACCAGTAACGTTAGCGTTGAATGCCCAGGAAGCTCCCCCTCTTCTACAACTATGTCCACTATGAAATGAAGGATTATATCCTAAATTTCGCAATTTGTTTCTCAAAATTTTAACGAATTTTTGCCTTGTAAATGTAATCAATTTACCATTCTTTGAGTAAAGAAAGGCTGGAGAAGTTTTCTTATATTTATGGAAAGAATTTTTATGATTGAATGCGGACACAATATTTAAGGGAGAACTTTCTTTGGCTAACACGGGAAGTGTTAAAATGCGTTGTGCTGCTTGGTTTGTTTTAGAGTGTTTTATGAGGAAAATCAAACCATCTGAGTCTTGTTTGAAAATATCTTGTTGTAACAGATGTTTGTTGTTCTCAAAAGTAGAAGTTGTATAAGGGATAATGTTTCCTGCTCTTGCGAATAAGAACGTAAGTGTGAGGATTAGAAACCAAAATGTGGACTCTAAATCTGAGGTTAGATCTAAAGAGCCAAAAATTTGAGTTAAAATTTCAGGGGTAATAGGTAAAGCTCTTTTGACGGTGTGTAGGTTATTTCTTTGTAAACCTTTATAAAGGAGTTTGTATTGGAATTCCCTATTAAGTAAAGGAAAGGGCAATTCATGTAATAAATGTAGAACTTTTATGCCGTTTACATAATTTAAAATTGAAGACACTGATTTGAAAGTCCTACTCAAGAATTGCATGTAAATAAGAATGGTGTCTGTTTGAACTGGTAAAAATGCCATGTTGTAATAAACACAAAATAAAAGAAAAGTCCTCCATTGTGTGTATAAATTCTGCCAGGTTTTGCTGTTATATGCAGACATCATGTTGTGATTAGCTTGCTTTTTGAGCTCCTTGATTTGATCTGGAAAAATTACCAACATTCATTAAAATTGAAATGAAAGGATTTGATTTTGTACTCGACTGAATTCACTGGGAGCAATTGTTTAGCTTTGTTTTGGAATTCTAAGTCTGTATGCCACCTGCTGAGACTATCTGCTAACACATTGGTATGACCGGGTATGTGTGTTGCTTTGATTTGAAAGTTGTGCGTAGCTGCCACGAAAGAAATTTCTCTTAAGAGCAACAGTAAAAACTTATCTCTGGATTTACCGGTGTTGATCACCAAAACCGAAGTTTGGTTGTCGCAATTGACCAAAACGCGTTTCTTTTGAAAGTGGTGACCCCAGAGTTTTAATGCTAATAATATAGCTAGTAATTCCAAAGCGTTAATGCTGTGAGATTGTAAGAAAAGTGGGATGGTAGTGTGATAAAATTTGTTATGTGAATATCCACCTAAACCTGTGTTACATGCATCAGTGGCCACAATGGAATCTAAAGGTGTCCATTCACTATCAGGAATGACTGTGACTCCATTGTAGGTGCCCATGAAATGTTTCCACCACGCTAAGTCTTTCTTGAATTGTGAACAGATTTTGAACTTATGATGTTGTTTTTTCAAGCTTCTGAACTTAACCAGGAGTCTATTAATGAACACCCTTTGGAGATCAAAGTACCCCAAATCAGTCTTTTTACAGACAGCTCCCAAACTTCATGGGGAGCACACATGAACGGGATAGAACGTTCAGGCGTGTGGACACGTCAGGAACAAACTCTTCACATAAATGTGAAGGAATTGATGGCAATAGAGAAAGCTCTTTATGCTTTCAAAACGGAACTTGTGAATCAGACAGTCATGATTGCATCAGACAATGTGACAGCGATTTCATACATAAGAAATCAAGGGGGTACCCACTCGTACGTGCTTTACCAGATAACAAAGAGATTGTTGAACTGGGCGAAACTTCACAAAGTGAAGATTCAGGTAAGACACATCGCAGGCCGACTGAATGTGTTAGCAGACGCCCTGTCGAGAAAGAACCAAATCATTCAAACAGAGTGGTCTCTATCACATCAGGTTTTCAAAACCATATGCAAGATATGGGGTCAACCTCATGTAGATCTTTTTGCCACAAGACACAATGCAAAAATCGATCTATTTGTGTCACCAGTACCCCATCCACTAGCTTGGAAAGTGGATGCCTTGAGCATAGAGTGGAAGAACCTCTGGATTTACGCATTTCCTCCAACTCCTATATTGACAAAGGTTTTGGAGAGACTGAAAATGCAGGAGAATGTGGAAATGATTCTGATTGCTCCTTGGTGGCCGAAACAGCCATGGTTCACAAGTCTTCTGGAGACATCAGTAGATGTACCCAGGCTCCTGCCATTGATTCCATCTCTGCTGAAACAAACACATATGATGGTGTTTCACAACAATGTATCAATGTTGAATCTTCACGCGTGGAGATTATCCACAAGCAGCTCAAAGCAAAGGGCTTTTCTGAAAAAGTTGCCCAATGCATGGCTAGACCACAAAGAATCTCCTCATCAAGAGTGTATGATTCAAGATGGAATATTTGGTCTAAGTGGTGTAGTGAAAGACAAAAAGATAGTCTCAATGCCCCTGTAGAACAGGTGGCAGAATTCTTCAATTGGCTATTTGAAGAAAAGGGCCTCCAGCCTAGCACTATTGCAGGCTATAGAACAGCCATCAGTAATACAATCAAAGATGCTTCTGGGGTAGATATAGGCTCCCATCCTTTGTTGGGAAATCTACTGAAAAATTTCAAACAAGACAGGCCTAGATGTATAGAACTTGTGCCAAATTGGGATTTGAATCTAGTTTTGCTAGGTTTAATGAGACCCCCTTTTGAGCCTATAGAATTGATAGACTTAAAATTCCTAACTTGGAAAACTGTGTTCCTAGTTTCACTTGCGTCTGCTGCAAGAAGAAGTGAAATTCATGCTTTAGCTACAGATAAAGTTTCACATAACTTGAGCAAAGCTATTTATTATCTAGGATATAGAGCTGACTTTGTTCCCAAGACTTTTCTCAAGACTGGGAATGCAAATCTGTTGTCAGATATCGAGATAAAAGCTCTTGAAAATCCTGATGATCCTGACGAACGTCTCTTGTGTCCAGTCAGGAGTTTGAAAGTCTACTTAAGAAGATCTAAGGATCTAAGATCAGACCAGAAGAACATATTCTTGTCTTATAAGAAAGGTTACAATAAAGACATTCATAAAAACACTGTATCATCATGGATCAAGCAGTGTGCAGTACGAGCATTACAGGCAGTACCAGAATCTTCAGCGGTAAAGTTTAGAGTACATGCTCACCAACTGAGAGCATTAGCAACGTCACTAGCTTTCTCAAAGAAAACTAGTTCTGTGGACATTTTGAAGGCTGGAAGATGGTCTAATCTTACTACTTTCATCAAGTTTTATTTGAAAGACATTACAGTAAAGGACTCTTCCAGTGACTTACACTTTATTGCGGGTAATACTGAAAATTAATGTCTTGTGATATAAATTATATCCAACATAGAAAGGCTGTAGAGTAAATAAATTAGAGTTGGAACACTACGTGTGCATTTGTTTTTTATGCTTTACACTTTCCCTGTAATATCTAAATTTGTTTAGATTAAAGGTGATTTGTCAGCCATTGGTTTAGAACCATAATTTTACATGTTTGTCTATGAAGTTATTCTATGAGGCCCACCACCAAGTATGGTGTATTCAGCAATTAGTAGCATATTACGGTAAGTGTAAGAGTTTACATAATAAAATCCCAAAATTTCAGTAATTTTGGTTTTTATAAGAAAACTATACATACCTAATATGCTACTAATCATATGACCCACCCATCCACCCCGCCTATTACATAGATGGGTTTTGTAAGTAATTAGGATGGACAAAATTGAGGTCATAGACTCGTGACGGAGACAGGGTTGTCACGAAATACATACATGTATAAGTTTCACCATAGAAAGGCTATATGGTAGGATTAAGGCGATTAGTAGCATATTAGGTAAGTATAGTTTTCTTATAAAAACCAAAATTACTGAAATTTTGGGATTTCATTTTACTGATTGTTTTTGATAGAAATTAATTTGCGTATACATATTTTTATTTTGATATTATCGAAGAAGTTCAGAGCCAGCTATGTTGCCCAGTCATCGTAATTTATTCATGTATCATTCAAATCCAACTCACCATCCGTTATCAAATGTAGTAAGAAGTTTGTATTTGTGAGAAGCGTAGTGTTTTCCTTTGCACACAAAACTCCCCATCTTTCGGGAGGATATCAGTCCACCAGTTATAAAGACGTCATCTTTTATATCTTTGCCCGAAGGATCCGCGCCGTAAAGCTCCCAGTTTCCTTGATACTCGTTAGGAAAAGAGCATTCCGGAAGTGGCGACGGCATCGGACCTAAAATAGCAAACAAGACAGAGTGTAATCAATCAACCGATAAAATCATTATTTTACCAGTCAGGTTTTGTAAAAAACAGTAAACTTCATGTTTTATCAAAATAAATTATAGTCACACGTTTGCCGTAACAGCTGAGACTGCGACTAATAAGCCAATGGATATTTCAGCAGCAATCATTCATAATTAAATGGAAAGGTAGGCAATTCCCTACTGGGAAATTGTATCCTTGTACATGGGGTCTTCGGGTCGACATGATGACAACGAACTACTTATCTCATAAATACAAAATGCATATATTCATAACTGCATTACATCAAGTCAATAAGCCATCAACACGTCAACTTGAGAACGTCAGTGTGTCAATAATGGCATTCCTTGTAAAATATCTTAAGTCAAAAAGTGTGCATCTGAAGAGCTTTCAAAAACTATATATCCATATCACTTTATAATCGTATTCGAGACTGTTTATCAACGTTTTACATTAAATGATTTAAGACCAAGACTCAATGCATTGTGATGATAATCTAACAACGTATGTTGCTTTTCATGAGCTCATCAGGATGCATAATCATTTGAAACCCCCAAATCAAAAAAATCCTCACTGCAAAGTACAGGACTGCTAAGCAGCTTTGAGATTTTGTTAATGCAAGCTTTGGATAGATGATTTACTGTCACTTGAATGGTGCGGGATAACATTCTCTTGCCTTCCTGGAACTTTCTCAGATCATCTCATTATGTAGATGCAAACAAGCGGGGCTATAATATTTTCCAAAACAATTAAACTAATGCATACTCACCACAAAGTCCACAAGACTTTTTACAGTAGTTGGCATACTCGTATGGTGGACGACTTATACATTTTCCCTGTTTGGCATATTCGCTACACTTACTGCTTTCATCATAGCAGAGTCCGGAGTCTGCAAGGAGGAAAATGTTAGTACCAACAAAAACTTCTAAAAAGCAAGCCCAATGTCCTGTTTAATAACCCCTTTTCTTACTTTTGAAAATGGATTCTACCAATTTACTCTCCGACATGAATCTACTTATTGAGATTCGATCAACTTGAGATTTTTTGAGGATTTCAAAGGGGTACCATTCACTTAACATGGGGATGCAATTGACTTTAATCCTGCATATCTATAACGGGGTTCAAGGAGTATCGTGTTTTTGAGATTAAACGTTTTAATATGTTGAGGAGGATATATTGATCGACGAGGACCCTGTCTGATAGGGTCTTTGCATGCTGATGCTACTTTCACTCTGATTTCATCTTGTTTGACACTTGGTCATATAATACAGACCAAAGGTTTTGTGTGATCTGCTTTGTTAAAACTGTGCATGGCGATTACACCGAAATACCGAACAGGCACGCAAGGAAATGATTAAAGGTAATAATATTCTTTATACATGTAAAATTGTGACATTTTAGTGTGACTTTATGACATCACATGTCTGATGGCTACCCTATTTAAGTAAAATCTGTGTAATTGCGCTGGATTTTAACATTCAAAGGAATTATGAACCTAAGTATTATTACTTGACATAAGTAAACTTGGAAATAAAATTCCATGTGGCAATAATCGTAATGGCATAAGTCGTTATACTTTATACCTAATGTGGACCTTTATCTTTCTTAATTCATTTTTATTTCAGATTAAGGATTATACCTCAATGAAATGTAAATCTAGGGGTTACAATATACAGACATTAATATAACAAGGAATGATATATAAGTAAGTAAAATTACCCGATTTGGACATAAACATCTCGACGTATTTTACGTAATTTCCTTTGTAGGCTGTACCTCCTCGATTCGGAGACGGAGAAACCACATTGAAGTATAGTCTAGCTGTAAAACCATGAAGGTCTCTGTTAAGTGGGATCCTCTAAAAACAAATTGAACACATATTGTAAAACTAAGGAAATAGTTTTGCGTAGGGATACAACCGGATGCTTCGGTAATTGGGTTCTCTGTACGAAATGGTTATCCTATTTTCTGGGCCGGCACAGTGCCATTTAGTAGTTTTAGTTTACTTTTTATAGAGTTCTTAGTGCTTATGGCCTAGTCACATAGTCCGGCCGATGTCCGACATCGGTAGAGCTCGGTGGATTTTTTTTGTGCCACCGAGCTCTCCTCATCGGAAGCAGAGCTCGGTGACGTGAACGGACTCCGTCCGGACATCTTCAGGCGACCGACCGAACACCGGCCGGTAACCGTACGGAGTCTGTCTTAAAATGGTAGTTTTTTTCTGCCGATGTGGCAGCAACTACCGGCCGGAGGTCGGCCGGACACCTGAAGGAATACGGCCGGTACCCGAGCAGGTAACAGGACACCGTGCGATCGCCGGCCGGGTTGTTAACGGGCTTTGAACAGTGACCGGTCGATGCTCTGTCCCACATCGGCCGGAGCTCGGTCGGAGCTCGGCCGCTGTCCGTTAAAAAAAACTCGTCCTCTGGTTGTCTCAGATGCACGGGACACCGGCCGATACTCGGCCGTGCACCGGCCGACGTGTTTTCCGATGTGGTTACGATGGGGCTGCGATGACATGATGAGGGAGCTCGGTGAGAGCCCGGTGAAATTTAACTCCGAAGTTAAAATTTCACCGAGCTACCACCGATGCGGTTTTAAGCAACAAACGCCACGGATGTCCGGCCGGTGTCCGGCCGGTGTTCGGCCGAGTTCGGTGAAAATTGCATCGCTGGCTCATCGTAACCTCATCGGCCGGGCTATGTGACTAGGCCATTACCTATTATAAATATCCAAAGGTTGAATTATCCATTCCAGTAATAACGAATTAATTTCATGGAACTATTTATGGCGGAATGATATTTGAAACAGGTAGGTTAAAGGGACAGGTGTTGCGCTCAAACTCATACTTATTGAATTCACTTTGTCACGATACCAGAATATTCTGATATTGGTATGGTATAAACTAAACAAGTCCCCGTGGAAGTTATGATATGAGATATTAAAGATGTTTTTCTCTATTTTAACCCCGTCTCATGAAAAATTAGGAAAGGTGCCTATATACATTGCCATTGCCTTGAATCAAATACCGACCACTTCCACACATGTTTCAATCAGTCCATGTATATACGAGAATGTGAGCACAGATTCAAAAGGTGAAATGCCAAATAATATAACAAAAAATTAAATGTCACAAAGGAAACGTTTATCTAAGACCTCCATCAGACTCGTAAGGACAACAAATTCAGATGGTCTGGCGCACCTGTTTAATCCTCCACCCACTCAAACTGGGTATCACAATTCAAATTCAAAAGGGATGAGACAATCCGCCATGCATACTGTTTTTCAATCCCGGGTTTTCAATACAGATGAAGAACAAATTCAGTTAGAATATTCTTGACTTCTAAAATAGTATTGAATGACGTAGTACGAAATAAATCCAGTCTTAAATTTTATATTGAAGACTTTCAACATTGTCAATGTACATCAAGCACAATAATCCACAAAAACACTATATTACACATTCTTACTCAATAATCATTACGATTCGACCCCCTTTCAAGTACTGTTAATTCCTTAGCAGGGGTCAACCTTAAAGGTGCCAAGTAAAAATTAATATTATGGAATCACCCTTGTAGTCCAACTTTATGTCAAACACATGTACTCACAAGGGTATAATGCGGCTCTGAATTCTTGGCCTTTGTAATTATATACATATGTGCTTCTTCCACCCAACTTGCCCAACATAACAGCTGTACATCTAAAACATACAACTGTAAATTACAAAACGTGGTATAACCTACAAAGCTGCTGATCCTACTTCACAAAAAATCATGAAAAATGGGCGGCATACACTCCCCTCAGGTAGTTTGACAATCGGGAGTGTTCCATAGCTTGCTTTTTCCTTTAAGTTACAATAAGAAAATCCCAAATTTGATAAAATCTTTTAAGTTGCAAACATAAACAGGATTTTACACTCGACAGGGTACTATATTTGTTAAAATATATTTGACAGTGTATACAGTTCTTTAAAACCTACTATTTTGTTGTCCAAAAATGTTACAAGCTGGGTTTGGAAATATGAAGTCTAGGCCTTCTCCATTGATACATTCACTCTCAAGCCTAGACGGCCTCCATTCCTTACATATAGGTTCCATGTGCTAAAAGAGAACACAAAGATGTCGTTAGTATTCATGATTTGTAGGGGTTTGGTCTTTTTTTTAATTCAACATTTGTTCTTTCTGGAGTATTGAAGTTGAATTCGTTTATGTGAATGTTTTATTAATCGACATGTTTTTTTAATAATATCAAACATAATGTCATGGGAGTGGTTTATAAATTATAAAAATCAGGTGTAAATGATTAACGACGAGTCTCTTTACGGTATATCAAGGTAAATCTGTACACTACCTCTCTGCCATCGTCGTGGACTCTTCTATTGTTTGAGGGGAGGAAGCCATCAAAATCATATCCTGCTGTAAACGGACAACTAATACGTGCATCAGAGGTATGAGCTGAAAAATATAAATACATTTCTTACATAGCTGAACATTGACACATACAGCATTTTTTGTTTTCACTTCTTTTCAAAGCTTACAATGCCCTCTATTTTCAGAACGTTTCGTGCAGTGTATTTATGTGTGGTGTGGAATCATTAATTTAATTACAATAACATGCTTTTTTTTGGGGGGGGGGGTGGTATTTATAGTTAATGCATTTAGTTAGTGAATAGGAATCTAATTGATTTTATTCCTCAGAAAGTCATTTTTACGTATTCTAAGCCCTTGACATTTATGTACATCATGTACATCATGTACAAGTTGTCAGCTGTGTTTAAGCTCATGTTTCTTACGTGTATTTTCACAATGTATAAAATGAATTCTGACTTACAATACCAAGGCCAATCATCCAGTCTCATGCGTTTGTCATCACATAGGTCATCGTCTAGTGTACTAGTAGGGGGACCTGAAACACAGGAAAATGTTACATCCTGGACAGGCTATGACGTCATGCTATTAGGTATTTTGATTGGAAAAGTGATTCTTAACACAGAGGAGGATCGTGCACCTCTTGCAATTTTATATATACGTTCTGTAAGTTTTTATTAATTTATGAGTTTTGAATTTTCTATGTTCTTGTTCAATGTAAACGTTCCCTGAATTTTTGTTATTTGTATTTTATGTTATTTTTATTAAACACATGGGCTTTCAATTAGGAGTTGAAAGCCCATGATATACATTACTTTTATAGTCTCTTGCTCTTGTACTCTTCTTTTATAAGAAAGAAATAAAGATAATACAATACAATACAATACAATACAATACAATGCATATCGGATGTCCCAAATAATGAGCCACTTTTTGACAAGTATTATCTCGGCAACTGATAAACAAAATTCACTGAAATGTGCAAAGTAGCCCAAGAGTATCGTTAGCAAGGTAATAAAATATGAAAAAGATCAAGTAAATGTTATGGGAGAACTAAATAAGAAATCCAAGATACCATGTCATATCCCATACCGGAGCAACGCAATGAGAACTTCTTCATAGCGTTTGTACCAAGAAATGAGAAGCAATTTGACAAGTAATTTCTCAGCAATAGATAAGCCAATTTTTTTGAATATGTAAGATATTATGTGCGTGTTTTAGAATTATTTAATACAGTATGTCAAAATAACAAATATCAGCGTAAAAGTCACATATTAATCTATTTCCAAGCAAAAATATATTTCTGTTCCGACAATATCACCTCCAATGAATTTTTTGAATGAATTGGATTTTCGATATTTGGGATGAATGAAAAGAATTAATCAGACAACATTCGGCTCCCATCGAAGGCAGTGAAGACTGAGCGTGCGAAGATGATCGCTGGTACAAACACTATAGAGGTCTCATATCAGAGCTCCGGTTTGTGATTTTTTGACACGTCATTTTGAATTCTTAGTACTCAAAGAATATTTACTTGATCTTTTTTATATTTCTATAACTTGCTAATGATATTTTTAGGCATTCTTATACTCGTAGCATCTTTCTGTTTCATCTGAAACATCCCAGGGTTGAGAAGAAATGAGATGTCATGGTTTATCATGATGTTCTTAGGCTACTTTGTAAAGTTGCCGAGATAAAAGTGGTTCATTGTTTTTGGGACATCCGATATATAAATGGTACACCTGGGACGGTATGCCATAATATAGCTGCAAGGGAGATTTCAATATATTCCACTTATGCATCAGTAGGATTCCACTAATGGAAAGGTTATGAGTTAAGTGACATTTTTTAGACAAATGTGTAATGTTTCATAAGTAGTTAGTTATCAAATGAGGTTTTTATTGCATTACGTTATATTCTACGTAATTGTACTTCAGAGAGGACGTAGCTGAGAGAAAGAGACAGACAGATATTTGTGATGTTGATTTTGTTTAATAGGCAGAGAAAAAAGGTGGAAAATGATGGGTACTAGATTAGATTAGACTAGTGTGGTTAGATGCATTAAAAAAGAATATGATGGAAAATTGTGTGACTTTTATCATATGATATTATGTATCTTGTATATTATGTTAATGTAACTGCGTTCAAATGTTTTTTCTATGAATAAAAAAATTAATAAAAAAAGATTTTGTTTAATATTTCTTGATATATCACATTATGTTACCTCGAACGTGTACGTTAAAGGGCGGACCATTATAGTAAGGAGCTTATCCCAGCAATGGCAGAATTAATTCTTAAGTTGTAAACATATTTTGAAATATATTTTACTTTATTACTCTAAACTCTCTTTTTTTTGGGGGGGGGGATTTTAAAAAATATTTCATCAAAATGACCCTTATGCGTTCAGTGACAGTAATGATTCCACTCGTGAAAAGGATTTCACCAAGATTCTCGTAAATGATTAAATGGTCCAATTAATATTTTTTAAGAAAAATTAAGATAGTTAGGATATGATGTACAGGGTGGTACAAATATGGTATACCTTTTTTATTTGAGTTATATCATGATGATAAGTACCATATATGGAGAACGTTGATATATCCAGTGGTATTAATGATAGATACTGAAAACATAAAATGATACCAATAAGAAGAAATATAGCAAGTGTACCGCAGTTTGACTCCCCATATCCTTTATTTAAGTTTCATACGTACCACTTTTTATTTGAAGGACATTATCCGTCCGAGAAATGAACTGTATGCATTGATACTTCGTCGGCCAACTGAAACAAAAAGCATATAAAGAATATATTAATATGAGAGTAACACCCTTATAAAAATGCATAGAAATATTCCGATTACAGCAACATTTGCATGAAAAATAGCCCTATTAGGTTCCATTTCGTTCACAAGTACGGATTTTTATCAAAGATGACAGACACCTAAATCTATTCTGATTTTTTTGATTTTCGAATTCATTAGAACATCCGATGGAAATCACACGGGACACAAAAATACATTACAACATCCCACATCTACAATTATATTTGACAAAGAGCATTTAGTTTATAAAGAGAACGATGACACTAGATTCTATGATATTAAATACATGCGCATGACGGGACGACTAGCTGCCAAGTTTGCGCATATCTTGTTAGGCTATGACAGGCACATTTTTTAATTTGTCTCTATTGATTCCAAATATGTTCACAACCTGAATTTTCAATCTTACTTTAAAAAGTACTGGCTAAAGCATTGTCATTTTATTCATTTGTGGTCAGTAGTATACCATTATATAGCACCACAGCACGGTTATTCCCCAATGACTGAATTCAGAAACATATCGGAATGTGCAAATCTCGTTTTATTTCGGATTGTTCTAATTAACGAATACAAAGAACTTCATTTGATGAAAGTGAAATTTTTCAATTGCTTCTAATTAAGCGTGGCATAGTATTACAAAAAAAGAAAAAAACACGACGCAATAAATTCTCGAAACTTCAAACCAACCGTGTTGCTTCATTTTAAGAAAGGAATCCAATGCTGCTACCAGATGTATTAGATACGAAACACTAACACAAGACAAAATCGTATGGAATAGCTTGCACTAAGATGGTTATTAAGCTTGTTATTATGGTCTTACTAGTGGTTATTATTGAGTAATGGTACAGGTATCCGATATGGTATTGCAGCTTACACTTAAGTAATGGTACACGTATCCTTGGATTTTAGGCCCGAATACCGAGGTTTATTTTTTTGATTATCGTGTATTATTATTTTGTGTTAATATTAGTTAACCATCTAACTATTGGCTACCCTTTGCATTCGTCTTCGTCTTGTAGTTTAACTAGACTCTGCACGCAGGGTAACTATTGGCATGATATTGATAACCTTGTTATATTAATATAGCGCATAGGCGTAGCCAGGGGGATGCGATGGGATGCGATCGCACCCCCCCCCCCTCCATAACCAATGAAAATAGAACCATTAGATAGAAGAGAAAAGTCTTAAAATGCTTTTTATTTGAAGCTTCTAGCTCGATTTTGAACGAAGTTGCACCAATTTTTGTAAAATTCAAAACAAATCTTCAAAAACATTTTTAATGCCACGATCGCACCCCCTCCCCCCGACTGAAAGCTACGCCACTGTAACGTGTAATCAATACGCTACATTTTGTATGTTCAATTTGTATACTAAAAACTGTTATTAATCCAAAAATTTAGATGAAGACAAGATTAAAATTCGAATCAAGAATGAAAAGGTGTCTAAGTATATAAATCTTAAGGGTAATGCATATTTGAATTAAACAGAGGCGGGTTAATTTATATTGTGCTAGGAATTACGCTATTATTCAAAATTGCAGCTAAGATGCCTGTTTTATGAAAAATATCACGGAAGATGTATTTTAGATATCAGTAGTATTCTCAGAAATTTATTATCCGAAACGGATAACATCTGGCCACTCAGACAAACAATCGCAGACATAGGATAAGCTTGTTTATTTAACAGTTAGATTTGTTGACTTACCGATCCGTATTTCAATCTCCGGGAACACGTTCTTTTCACTTTGTATTTGCGTGCAGTGTAATATAAGTTGATACTTTTGTTCAAAAATGTACTTTTAATGGCCATTTTATGCCTTTTATTTTCAAATTATGTTTTGTTTTGATGTCAGTGTGAAAATTCAAGAAACGTCAACCCCGACTTTTAATTAAAAAATGTTGGTTAATCACTTATGGCAAATCACAAGGTTGATGATGTCAACGGACCATGATCGTGGAAGGCTATCAATATCAGGTGTATATCGCATAGAAAATAAATATTGCTAATTTTTCGCACTGATATGATGATGACTATTCTGGCGAATCTGGTAGATATTTCTCCGTTTTTTCCGATAATAAAACTATTCATTTCTATCAATTTTACAAACGGGGTCCTTTGAATGCACATTAAAACTATAAAAGTATTTATTGGGCGTACATACTGTAAAACTTAATATTTAATACTAACCAATGCATCAGTTAATATTTCCAGAATACAAATTTTCCATTTTTATTTCTCTGATAGATAAAGTCTCATTTTGAATCTGTTCGTGTATTAAAGAGTATGCTTTTATAATGCCGTGGTCACATTTGCTCAGATTTTCAGCACCGGCGCCCGGCCGATGAGTATTTTGTTCAAAATTGTATTCAATTCTGAACAAAATACTCAATCGGCCGGGCGCCGTAATGAAAATCGGAGCAAATGTTACCAAGTCATAACTGATGAAAAATCAAATGAGGTTTCACACATCAAAGTAGAGGGGACACTTGTTAAAATTGCCGGTTTCATTTTTGTAGTATATCTAAAAGATATAAACTAGTGTTGAACCTCTTCTTTTTCAAAAAATAAACAAAATACTTCTGGGGCATCTGCTTCTTGTCTTGATTGTTAAAGAGAAATAGAAGAAGAGATAGAAGCTTCAAGCTCAATTTTGAAGGAAGTTGCATCTTTTGGCTTGCTTTTACCACGATCGCAACCCCCCCCCCGACTGAAAACCGTTATTGTTTTTTGGCGATCGCATCCCCCCCCCCCCGACTGAAAGTTGGCTACGCCCCTGAAAATGGATAACAGGGGCACTATTACGCTGCGTGCAGAGTCTAATTATAAACTACGAGAAGACGAGAAGACTTTAAGAAGTTAAGTCGAACAAATGCAAAGGGTAGGGTACTATAGAACGGGATCATATAAAAGCACGATCTATTTCACAACGCCTTTAACTTTTGTTCTTCAACTGTTGCCCTTTGTGCATTTCAAAAATAAGATATCTTAATCTGATTTGTTCCACCTTTCTTTTCGCTCAGTTCTGCAATATTATGTCCACATGTTGTTTAGGATTATGTCATTTGCGAAATAGCTGTAAGACATTATGAGAATGAATATGGGAGTTTCCACGATAATGTTGTTCATATGATTTTATACACATACCGTACCTGCATAACAATCGGAGACAGAAGTCTTAATATAGTCCAATAAAAAAATAAGAATCTAACATTTAATGATAACAAAAGGATTAATTGCTTAGTTCTCTTTGTCTTAGTCTTTGTTTTCTTAAATGCGGAAGTTTACCAACATCACCTAGATTTCATAAGAGATCATCTAACAGTCTAAAATTGCTTTTAATTGCAAGTTAATGCATTCCGACCAAAATTTGTATACCTGTAATTTGGGGGGGGGGGGGGGGCGATGTTACTTCACATAACTACAACGTTCATATAGAAATATACAATAAGCATATCCATATAAAAGCTAAAATTATAAAAACTCATTTCAAAGTCATTCTGTTCATGGAAGCGTCAAGTTATGAAAAACAATGCTAAACACTCAAACAAATCGACTTGATTACCTTTGAAAACTTCTTGAGAGGAAATGGACAAATGTATTTTTCTAACTCATTAGAACGTCTGTCTGATTGAAATACTATTTTTTAAATACAAACATAAATGATTTAATCTTGGTCAGAAGTCTGAACATTGTCCAACAAAATAATAAGAATCTAACATTTAATGATTACAAAAGGATTAATTGCTATATAGTCTTTGTCTTAGTCTTTGTTTTTCTAACGGCGGAAGTGTACCAACATCACCTTGATTACAGAAGAGATTGTCTAACAGTCTAAAATTGCTTTTAATTCCCGGGTTTTAATTACATTTTATGAATAGACTTTTTTGCCTCTATTCTCATTTTTAAACCTGTTTCTGTTTGCGTATTTAACAATTATTAGATTATTCAGTTAGTGTCGAAATCAAAACAATTTTCTACATTATAGTCCCCTCCTCTTGCACTAACTAAATATTAAAATAAATAGTCAGTCGGGCAAGGGTGATCTCCATGCTATTTGATTCGTGCATTATCTACTAGTCAGTCGGGCAAGGGTGAAATTATTTCATTTGAAAACAGAAATAAATATCAGAACCCCTCTAGCATAACTATTCGGAAGAAATTCATACAAAAATAAGGTACACAACTGATGAAGGGTCACACGCAATGCACGCACCCCTCTCCTCCTCCTCCGTGTTTGCACACACACGACCATATTTACAATTTTTCTAAAAGCGTTTTCCCCGGGAATATAGATGTAGCGGTTGCCAGAAGTCGCACAGCTTGGGAGTCAGGGTATCCTGATCCATGCCTCAACGCCTGACGGGTCTGATATTTAGAGGGGACGCAAAAATTATTAGGGGCCGGGGTAAACGTGAAAGTTGCCAAAATATCCATAGGCGTAGCCAGGAGGGGAGGGGTGCGATCGCAACCTCCCCCATAACAATAAAAATAAAACCCTAAGAAAGGAGCTTTAAAATGCCACAATCATACCCTCCTATTTTTGGCACCCCTCCCCCCCCCCTGAGTGAAAGCTAGCTACGCCCTTGATGTCTGTTTTTGGTCATCAATAAAACTATATTTATATGGTGAGGATTTATGGATTTTGATAACAATAGGCTTTATATATGCTTTAATGTTTTATTTATCATGATGCTTTTATGTAGGCTATTAATTACAGTTCTTTTTGCAATATTAAACTGGTATGTTTATGCAAATTCCGATTGGACTAATATAAAGGGATATTGTTTCATTATGTGGACTAGTGAAAGTCCGACATACTCATTGCTTTCAACCCAAAACTTAAAATAGGAAGTTATCAAGATCCCAAGAGCACGATCGCTACTTAAACAATACGTTTGTAAAATCCCGGCGATCGAAATGCAATCAAACTTTCGCAATCAGGTGCCTTATTAGTCTTTTG